CTAGTTGTTCGGTCATATACCTCATATAAATAGATTAGTCAGGGTATCAATAGCAATGTCAAAGCAGATTATGTTAAGATTATGCTAATTCTCTTCTATTTGAATGTCATAAGCACTCATACACGTGTGCGAAGTTTCGCTCTCTTTCGATCTCTGTAATTGCTCGGTCCCTTTAATTTTAATTTATGTTAAGAAATTAAAGAAAGAAATTAAAATTAAAAAAAATTGCTCATCAATTTGTTAAACCTCTATTAAAACTTCATACCATCCACACACGCCCACTTGAGATAAGATTCTTAAAAGGTCAAAAAAAAGCTTTTGATCAAACATTTTGGCGCCCAACGTGGGGCTAGTGTGTGGAAATTGACGGCATATCGTTGCCGCACAACATTTCGTTGGAGAAAGGTTTTATCGAACTCTTCGCAAAATACAGCATCTACAGCAACATTTGGCCAGCTCTTTTTTCTCGTTGCCGTTGCTTCGTCGCTGGAAACTCGCTACCTTCGCTTCGCTACTGCATTCTTGTTGCCGTTACTTCGCGCTCGATACGCTCTGAGCTTGATTGCTCATTGCCTTTGCTTCACAGCTTCTTTCTCGTTGCCGTTGCTTCGTCGCTTGAAACTCGCTACCTTCGCTTTGCTGCTGCATTCTCGTTACCGTTGCTTCATCGCTGGAAGCTCGCCGCCTCTGCTAGCTCACTGCATTTTGCTTCATCACTGCAAGCGACCATCACATCGGTGAGCGCAACATTTACAAGTCTTAGTTGTTCTGTTAACAGTGGGAGCATTTGAACGTTCGCTCGTTCACATCGGTGAGAGTGACATTATCAGGTTAAAGTTAGGCTGTTAACATTTTGCAGTATCAAACCTGTCGCTCGGTCACATCGGTTATCACAACATTCTCGATACATAATGTCAATTCTTGAAGCAATTTTACGTACGCGAGCGAACATAAAACGCAATATCGCACACTTAGAGGATGTTGTAAGAGTGTCTACTGAGGTCGATGGCAGTGAAAAAAGATTATCACACGGCGAGCTACAATTACGCTTGGATATGTTGGAGATATACATTAAGGAGGTTTTGGAAGTACAATCTGAAATTAATTTAGAAGATCCTCAGGACAATGGACGTGCAGAGGTGGAAGACACATATGTGAGTATCAAATTGTCTATCCAATCCCAACTGGATGATGTACTGCACAGCACCTCATTTGCTAACCTTGCTCCAATTCGCTCTTCGCCGCCATCGAGTCTTCCTCGATTGGCTCCGCCTGTATTTGATGGGAAACGAGCAGAGTTTAAAAACTTCATTACATCATTCAATCAGATTATCGGACGTGAGTACTCTCTTTCGAACATTGAAAAGTTTAATCATCTGCTGAATTGCTTGAAGGGCCCAGCCCTACAGGCAGTAAGGGCATTCCAAGTGACTCAGGAAAATTATCCCAAGGCTCTTGCTTGTTTAAGTGAACGTTATGACAATGCTACACTTATATTTTTAGACACAATAGATTCACTATTCAATCTACAGCCAGTCGACAAACCGGACGGAAATCAGCTGCGCAGTCTGCTGGACAATGCGTCAGCCCTGTATTCATCATTATCGTCATTGGGTACCGGATCAGATATTGCCCAAGCCATGTTGATATTCATCGTCATCGGAAAATGTGTCCTGCAAACTCGTAACAAGTGGAATGAGTCTCTTGACTTACGTACATTGCCAAATTGGGCTCGCTGCACAACTATTTTGGAACGTCATTGTCAGTTTCTGTAATCAAGTGGCATTGCATCGTATCGAATGGCTGATTCTTCGAAACAAAAACACGTGTACAAGCCTAGCAAGGGATTATCATTTGCTATTACTAATCCAACATGCATTGTTTGTTCCAGCTCTGACCATAAAATTGTACAATGTTCTCAGTTTCAAGACATGAGTCCTAAACTCAAGTACGGAGTCGTAAAAAATGCCGGACTTTGCATTAATTGCCTTCAATCAGGATATCGGATGGCTCAGTGTTCTTATAACAATCGTTGTCGAAGCTGCAAGCATCGCCATCACATGCTTCTGCATTTTGGCCAACCGCCTGCATCATCATCGTCTACATCGCCATCATCCATAGCGCAAATGTCCTTAGCAACGACTCCTGCTGCAACGCACTCGCATATGAATCAATCGCCAGGCGGACAAATCATTCTTGCTACTGCAAAGGTACTAGTGCTAGATTCATCAGGGGCGTATAAACAAGGCAGAGCATTGCTTAACTCATGTTCCCAAGTCAATTTCATAACTGATAAGCATCATTTCGAAATCCGCAGCATAGGGGAGACCTCGACTAAAATTAACAACTGTACAACTACTGGAATTAAATCTCGTTTGTCACCATTTGAAGTAACACTTCAGTTCTGCATAACGTCTCACATTGCCTACCAGCCGGATTCGGAAATCGACACGTCAGATTGGAGGTTGCCCGCGAATACACCACTTGCGGACGAAACTTTCCACAGGTCAGGTCGGATTGATCTCCTTCTCGGTACCGAAGCATTTTTCGAATGCCTGGCTGTTGGACAGATTAAGCTCGGAGACAATTTGCCAGTCCTTCAGAAAACGTTGCTTGGATGGGTTGTGTCTGGCAAGTATCGTCATCAGTCAGCTAAGCAGTCATCAACGTGCTTGCTTTCTGTGGAGGAGTCAATTGACAAAAAACTTCAATTACTGTGGAGCATTGATGCTCTAGAAAATTCTCCAAAGTCAATCAATCCAGAACATCGGCTCTGTGAAGATGAATAACGGCAGGATTGTTGTGCGTCTACCTTTCAAGGGAGATCCAATGTACCTTGGAAATTCAAGCGATGTCGTTTTAATCGTCATTTTTGATCGCTCGAGAGGCGCCTCAGTCAGCAGCCTTCTGTTCAATCGCAATATGTAACGTTCATGAAGGAATATGAGGATCTTGGCCATATGACTTTAGTGACGAATCCGAGATTAAGTGAGCCACACTTTTATATACCTCACCATTGTGTTTTTAAGCCCAGCAGTGCATCAACGAAGTAACGAGTCGCGTTTGACGCCTCGTGCATTACATCGTCCCAGCATTCATTGAATGATTTGCTTCTCGTTGGCCCAACACTCCAGATCTGTATCTGATCTGTATATACTTCTCCTTCGCTTTCGATTGGTTCGTTACGCCATCACAGCGGACATTACGAAAATGTGTAGACAAATTTTAGCCAGCTCAGTGGGTCGGAAATTTCAATATATATTTTGGAGACCATCCCCTGATGCTGATTTGCAGACCATTGAGCTAAATACAGTGACGTATGGAACGGCCTCGGCCCCATACTTAGCAGTTCGCAGTTTGCAATATCTGGCAGATCTGCATGTGAACGAGTTTCCCATTGGCGCATACATTGTAAAATCATCGTTTTATGTTGATTATCTGCTATGCGGAGCAAACGAGCTCATCGAGTTGCAGAACATCAATCACGAGGCCACCGAGATACTTCGCCGAGGACACCTCCCATTGGCACTCCAATCATCCCGCCGTCAGGGACGACGAATCGGTAAAGGATTTAAACTTGGATGAGCGCACTTGGCGTAGCTTGGGATCAACGTCGTGATGTGGTACTATTTGAATTTACACCCAAAAAATTGTATTCAACAGTCACAAAGAGGACTATTCTCTCGACTGCGTCTTCTCTGTTTGATCCATTAGGATTGCTGGCACCAATCATTATAGTCTCCAAAATCATCATACAGGAGCTATGGCTGCTAAAACTCGCCTGGAATGAATCTGTTCCGCAATCACTTCTACAAGCATGGAGAAACTGCTTAACGTCTCTCAAGGAATTGTCGTCGATTTCAGTACCCCGTTTTTGTTTGCAAGCTGAGCTCATAGACATACAACTGCACGCTTTCTGTGACGCATCAACACGTGCTTACGGCTGTTACGTATATGTGCGTTCCACGGACTCGTATGGCAATGTCCAGGTTCAGCTTCTGACTGCTAAATCCCGGGTGGTTCCTGTCAAGAACCTGACGCTTCCTCGATTAGAGTTAAGCAGAGCTCAACTTCTGAGTAAGTTATATACAACTGTCAAAAACATATTCATCGGCAAGCCGCACAGCGCGCATTTCTGGTCTGATTCGCAGATTGTCTTGCACTGGCTGCAACAACACTCCATCACCTTATCGACATTTGTTGGAAATAGAGTATCCATTATACAAGATCAAACAGCAGATAGATAGTGGAGACATGTACCGTCAAAATTGAACTCTGCTGACATCGTGTCACGTTGATGTCCAGCTAATGAGCTCCAGCAATCAATTTGGTTTACAGGACCTGCGTTTTTGAGTGATTCCGAGACTCAATGGCCCTGCCAACAATTCGACAATGATTTGGACATGGACATTATCGATGCTGAAAAACGGAAGTCTACATTTGCTGCAATTATCGAAAGTAATTATATTCTGGACTGGCTGAAAGGAACTAGTTCAAACATTCGGGTGCTTCGAATTATGGCATATATGTTCCGGTTTTACCATATTGCCAAAAAGGAACACCCTGTCGAAAGTTCGCCGCCATGCCCAGAAGAACTTCGCCACACGTTGCACTGCATCATCTGGATCATCCAACAGCACTTTTTCAAGGAAGATTTGCAATTGCTAAGGAAACAAAGAGATTTGAAAAGCAATTTGAAGTTTCTCAGCCCCTTCATAGACGACATTTTTGGATTCGAGCTTATCAATGTTGGCGGCAGACTCGAGCATGCTGATATCCCCTCTCGTCAAAGGCACCCTTTACTCGTTCCCAAGGATTCGCAATTTGTCCACAATTATGTTCGGCATCTACACTTTCGCAATTACCATGCAGGCCCAAAGGCTTTAGTTGGACTGCTGCGGCTTTAATTCTGGGTCCTAAACGCAAGAGCTTTAGCACGCAGCATTGTTCGTTCTTGTGTACACTGTGTCAGATATCGTCCAGTTGTACTTCGTCAAGTCATGGGTTCCCTGCAACCTGAGCGCTTATCCACAGACAAGCCACTTCGCCACGTTGGAGTCGACTTCTGCGGTCCAGTGATCACCTATCTTCCAATACGTGGTAAGGGTCCCACAAAATCCTATATCGCCATATATGTCTGCATGGCCGTAAAGGCCGTTCACATTGAAATCGTGTCAGATCTTTCAACGAATAAGTTTTTGGAATCGTTGAAACGCATGGTTGCCCGTCGTGGACCAGTATCGCAACATCTATTGTGACAACGCCACAAATTTTGTCGGAGCATCCAACAGGCTACTCGAGTTGAAGAAGTTCATGTTCAACACTAGCACTCAAGATGCTATCCTATCATATTGTTCCTCTGAAGAAAAAACCTTTCATTTCATTCCACCTAGGGCTTCACACTTTGGCGGTCTTTGGGAGGCCGATGGCAAGAGCGCAAAAGGTCTGCTGGTGCGTACCCTCGCTAACACCCGGTTCACCTTTGAGGAACTGAACACAGCAGTCGTTGAGATAGAAGCAGTACTCAACTCTCGCCCGCTGCCACCGCTATCATCTGATCCCAACGACTTCAGCGCTCTCACTGCAGGACACACTTATCACCAACAACATCTCCAACTTGGATCGTTACGAGCAGATCACAGCTGTTAAACAGCAATTCTGGAGTCGTTGGTCTGCGGAGTATGTGGACTTCGGCTTCCCCAAATCTCTATGGTCATCATACATGAGAACAACACACCGCCAATACACTGGAAATTAGGGCGTGATGAGTCTGTTGTGAGTGGCAAAGATGACCGTGTTCGTGTCGCATATATTCGCACTGCCTCTGGACTCTTTTGCCGGACAGTACATAAGCTGGCTGTTCTACCTGTCTCTTGAAAGATAATTCTTTCAAGGCGGCCGGGATGTTCGGTCATATACCTCAGATATACATTAGTCAAGGTATCGATACCAATGTCAAAGCAGATTATGTTAAGATTATGCTAATTCTTTTCTATTTGAATGTCATAAGCACTCATACACATGTACGAAGTCTCGCTCTCTTTCGATCTCTGTAATTGCTCGGTCCCTTTAATCTTAATTTATGTTAAGAAATCAGTTCTGTAAGCATCATCATAGAAGTCAGTCGTGTTGCTCATCAATTTGTTAAACCTCTATTAAAACTTCATACCATCCACACACGCCCACTTGAGACAAGATTCTTAAAAGGTCAAAAAAACGCTTTTGATCCAACACTAGTTCTAAGTGAACCACTTTGAAGACGAAGCAAACAAATAACGCTATGTACGACTTCTACGTAGGCTCTCCATGCATTCGAATGGTTGGGCCACAAAAATCGACGCCACTGATAGAAAACAGGAGAAGCGCTCGGAGTCTGCTGGTAAATTTCCCACAATTTGTGTTAGCAGACGAGATTTGCATTTAAAGCAACGGATACATGATTTCACTGTCTGGCGACAGACCTCTTAAGCGCTGATTAGCAAAAGTCGGCCTCGAAGAAGACTCACGAGTGCTCTTAGGCCAGCATGACAATTCGTCAAATGCAGATATTTAATAAAGCTTCTAGCGAATTGCGAGCTTTTTTTTTAAAGTAGCGGAAACTTGGCATCATATGAAAGAGGAGCATTTACAAGTCGTCCCCCTACTCGCAACAACGAAAAGGAGCACCAAGATCCATTATATTCATGTATAAATGGATTGAGACGCTGCAGGCTATGACCCACGCCTGTGCCTTTTCGAACTCTATCTATGTCATCTTTAAATTCAACTCTTTGGATGACTTCAACTATTTTCTCGAAAGCTTCATTCCTTTCGAGCGCCGTAGGGATACTCCAAATTGTACTTCTCGATTTTTACATTTTTGAATAAGGCGGAACACATAAGCAAACAATCTCAGTAGCCTGGCATGCGATGAGAAGCTATCAATAGTTTCCAAGATATCTGGTCGGCCTACAATAGCTGTTAGTCCAACAGCTGTTTTGCGTACTTCTAGGATTTGCATTTCATCTGTCATCAGATGCTGGTTTACCGGCCAAGATTCTCTTAGTTCCTTCAAAAATGAAGGCCCATCGAACAACATCGACGTAAGTAACTCATCAACATCGCAGCCTCTTGAAACAATAGCTGCTTGGTTTTGAATGTAGGTACATGGCGCCATTCAGCTTTCTCTGTCCATTCTTGGATTTCAGCCACTTTCTAGATAATTTGGAAATATTGCCGTCTAGTCGATTTAAAGTAAGACTGCCATTTAAATAAGATCCCAATCAGCTTGGTAATTCCTTCGAGGTTGCCAAGCGTCGTTTTTTGTCGCTTGAAAGACGCTTGTCTCGAGATCCCGAGCTTAAGCGTATGTACTTGGAATTGATGGCGGAATATATATTTATTTATTTATTAACCAATGCTGGTGGCTTTCAGGTTATCTTCACTCACAAAATATTATCTTAAGTAACTAACTAACTAAGTAGAAAATGTGAAACTTAAAGAAACAAATGTGTTTTAAAGAAACAATTCTTTAAGCTTATGTTTAATATGAGCGCTATTGGCAGACAAATCAAAACGCATTTTAGTTGGAAGACTGTTATAAAGCTTTAGTGATCTGTTCATAGGCTCGTTTACTTGCATAAGCGGTTCTGTGAGTCCCCACAGAAAACGTCAAATGGTATCGTAAAGATCTGCTCGGCACATTAAAATTAACGCGAGCTAAAAGGGAAGGGCAGTCAATCATTCCTACAATTAAATTGTTTAGAAAAAGCAACGTTGGTATGATTCTTCTTTCAGGTAAGGGGTCAGGAAAGTTAAGGCAATGTAAATTAAATTTTAAAAACTGTTTTTGCAGATTTTCTATCCTGTTTGTGTGCAAAATTACGGATGGGCTCCAGATATAAGAAGCATACTCTAATATTGACCGCACAAAGGCCGAATATAGAGATAATCTTGTGAACGGGTTTTTAAAGTGGCTAGAATTGCGCCTAACGAGCCCAAACATCGCATACGCCTTAGGCATAATATACTTTATATGCCGAATGAATAAGAACTTAGAGTCAAAAATTACTCCTAAGTCCAAAGCTTCTGATTTACGAGTAAGTTTTTGCCCATTAATGGTATAGGATGAAAGAATGGCAGAAAAACATTTACTAAATGTGATGTGATAGCATTTAGCTAAGTTCAGTGGTAACTGGTTATGACTACACCATTCAGACAAGTTGTGTAAGTCCTTCTGAAAAACCATTACATCATGCTGAGGCGAAATGCATTTGAATATTTTAAGGTCATCGGCAAATAATAGATAATCGGACGAACGGAAGCAACTCCCTATATCAATAACAATATATCTATAACAAGTTAAATAGGAGCGGACCAAGACAACTCCCCTGAGGTACACCCGAAGATGCGACATAAGTTGCGGACAAAGTATTGTTGATGCGTACGCGATAATGACGGTGAGACAGATAGGATTTTAACCAGCTTAATAAAGAAGAGTGAAACCCCAGCCTAGACAGTTTCTTAACGAGAACGACATGACTGACCTTATCGAAGGCTTTAGAAAATTCAGTATACACTGCATCAACCTGACAACGACGCTCAAAGCTCTGGATATAAAAGTTGTAGAAAATCGCTAAATTGGTGACTGTAGATCTGCCCGGCGAGAAGCCATGCTGTCTAGGATCCATATACGGTTTAATTACAAAGGAGGTATGTTTGACGACCATACGCTCAAATAATTTAGAGATATTACTTAGTTTTGCAATGCCCCTATAATTACGAATATCGCATTTCCTACCATGTTTAAAAATTGGCGTGATTGTAGCATTTTTCCACTTTTTTAAAAATACTCCTGCAGAGAGGGTGCTGATAGGGAAGAAGTGCTGATATACCATTACAGTCGGATCGAGAAGAGTAATTATGGCTACTAGCGGCTGCATAGAAATCTCCCTTGGAAAATATAATATTTCCTAAATTTAATATGTTAGGAATGGAGCTAAGGGAAGAACCCTCGTCGCAATTATAACATTTTTGAAAGTTCGAGCTGAAATATCTGGCAAAGAGATTTGCTATACCTAATTCCGATTTAGCTGACAGCGTCCCAAGTGTCATAGTTGACGGAATCGAGGAGGTTGTTCTTTTCGAATTGACAAATGACCAGAACTTTTTTGAGCAAGTCTTAATCCCATCCTCGATATGTTGTATATATTATAGAGAAATTTGTTTAAAAATTCAAACTCTCGCCTATGTAGAGAATATCTTTCCCAATCGGAGGGTCTCCGATATTTATAGAATTTCTTTAAAAATTAGATGCTTCAGTTTTTTAAGACCCTTTGTGTACCATGGCAAACTATGCAACCCCTGCCTTTTCCGTGGGACATGATCATGCAGAACATGATGAAGAGCTGAAATAAAATTATCAAAGCAGTAGTCCAAACTGCTATGCGATAAGATTCTCTGCCAATTGAGTGTAGAAAAACATTTATCGATAATATTAAAATTGCAGTGAGTAAGATTATAGTCATGTATGTTATATGACTGTGTAAGAGGCAAGAATGTATAAAATTTGACTAACAATAGGATAGGAACATGATGCATGTCACTACTAGTTAGAGGGTTTAAACATTTACTTAAATTAAAATTAACATCATTCAGAAAAACTAGATCTAATATTTTATGCAATTGATTGAAAATTGTATTAATTTGGGATAAGCCCATACTACATAATTCATCAATAACAACAATTTCGTGTGGATGATGA